TACTTGGCAGGCCTAATAATGTGAATGCCCGTAAAACAAAAAAGAGCCCGAGATGAAGTTACATCAAGATTGCATGATGGTATTCTTTTAGAGTTAGAATAACGGCTGACAATAAAACTACTGACGTCCCAGTTTGTTTTAAAACTTTTCTAAGCCTTGGTCGGAGGAGGCTTGAAAATATTCAAAAAAGTTTAAAAGCTAGTGGTAGTGCACCAATTGACAAACTCGGAAAAAATCCAAAAAGCACGCATTACCTAAACAGCAGAAAGCCATTATAGTAAAAATAAAACTAAAAAAAAATGTAAATAGGTAAAAGAAATAATAAATAGGACTTAGTCACAATCAATTTAATTTAACTATCTAGACGACCGGATTCGCTTTTTACAATATGCAAAGCATCTTCAGGTCTCCAAATAAAGTTAATTAAATGCTAAAATAATAAGACCCATATTAGGGTGTTGTCTTATAAAGATAAACAAATATAGATGATATAAATTACAGTAATTATGTCAATATTACATGTCTGTGGGTTTTTAAAATGAATAAAATGTTTAAGCAGACAAAGTAAGACCCACACATTCCTAGTCTATAAAGTTGTAATAAATTAGTAAATAAACAAATAAATAAAACATTACTTACATGCCGGTACTCTATTAATTGATGGTTGGAAAAATATGGTTAAAACTATCGTGTATTTTTGAATGGAGAACTTAAGTCTGCTATTGTAATTGTTTGATAATAAACGGGGAAGTTCTTGAGGAGATAGATTTTATCCAATGAAGTAGAGATAGGTGTAATAAGATTGTTTGTTAGATGAAAGTGATGTTCTATATCATTGAATTAATTAAAAGGTATTTATATTTATTCAAGAGATATATTTATGAAATGTGTGTTATTTATTGAGATTTTATTTTATGAAGGTGATAGTTGTATGGGGACGAAACAAACACTAAATTTAAAGATGAAGGTTTTGAATGCACTACATCTCTGAATTGGAGACAATGAGTTTTTATGTTATCTATTAGATTTTAGAGGTAAATTTGACAAATGTAGGTTAAAGTGTGACAGTTCTTCTTCTATTTCTAAATACTGTAAGTTAAGTTAACCAGTTTTATCAAATAAGCAGATATTTTTGAATGTCTCTAAATTTTTTTAATTTTAAATATCAAAAGTAAGTTAATGTGTTTAATATTGGCATACTTTTAACAATCATTAAATAATTAAATTTAAATGTAACAATATGAATAATTGCAATACATTTTCTTTTATAACTAACTTAGTTTAGTCAAAATTACAGAACAAACTTAAGTGATTATTTGGTAATTAAACATGTACATTTGTAATCAAAATGTATAACAAAGTTACAAAATTTCTTTGAAAAATTATTGTTGGTGTGAGTGAGTTATCTGTCATGGTGTGTTTAAATATTTTTAAATATTTTATTCCAGTTTTGATATGTTAATATGGAACTAAATAATAAGTAGATAAATTATTGATGGTAAATTACTTGATGAATTCAGGATATTGACTGAATTATTAAGCATTCAATAATTAGTTGGTAATTCTAATATATGACAGTTGAAACCGTAAATTGGTTATACCATCAGGTAAACAGTTCTTTATTTAAACGGGTGTAAAGTAAAGTAAAGTAAAAAAAATTATTCTTATTTCAATTTTCGTGTACAATGAACAGATATATCATCACACCGACACGAACAATAGTGAGTTTGTATACCTAATTATTTCTGTAACACTTTACCATTTTCAAATTTATAGCCGTTTATGGTAAAAAGTTTAATATTTCTATTTGACAGTGTAAATTTGCATATGATTAGGAATAATAAAGATCTATTTAATTAATACTACTAGTCTGAACGACTTTTCCATGTTGTGTTGGAAACCCTCAAACCTCGTGTTGAATTTAAAATCAAATATTTTGTAAGATGCAAGATAAGTTGAGGTACCATACTAGTTCAATACTGATATTTAATATAGTTTTAGGAAAAATGTAGTTTCTGGTAATATATTAAAGAAAATTATGAGAACAAAAAACTTAGATCCAGGGGGACCAGATTTTAAAAAGTTTATGTTGAACATTTAAATAATCCAAGAAGTATATCATATTGTTAAAAGTATGCCAATATTAAACACATTAACTTACTTTTGATATTTAAAATTAGAAAATTTTAGAGACATTCATTAATATCTGCTTATTTCATAAAACTGGTTAACTTAACTTATAGTACTTAGAAATAAAAGAAGAACTCTCACACTTTAACCTACATTTGTCAAATTTACCTCTAAAATCTAATAGATAACATAAAAACTCATTATCTTCAATTCAGAAATGTAGTGTATTCAAGTCCCTCCTTTTTAAATTTAATGTTTGTTTCGTCCCCTTTTTAAGTGTTTTTTGTGTTTTCTGTGTGTCTTGAATTGCCCTTAATTGTTTTAACTTTATTATTTTATATACTTTACTTTACAATCATTTGCCATATATGTCAATAGAACTTTATCAAAGAAATTTGATAATTAAAAGTTGAAAGAATTGCACACCCACACAATTTGTACATCTAATCTCATTCATTGTCATACAACTGTTACCTTCATAAAAAAAATCTCAATAAATAACAGACATTTCATAAATATATCCCTTGAATAAATATAAATAACTTTTAAATAATTTAATGATATAGAACATCGCTTTTATCTAACAAACAATCACATTACACCTATCTCTACTTCATTGGATAAAATATATCTCCTCAAGAACTTCCCCGGTTATTTTAAAACAATTACAATAACAGACTTCTCCATTCAACAATACAGGATAGTTTGAACCATGTTCTTCCAACCATCAAATAATAGAGTACCGGCATGTAAGTAATGTTTTATTGATTTGTTTATTTATTCATTTATTACAATTTAGTAGATAGTAATACAGTTTGTCTTACGTTGTCTGCTTAAACATTTTATTCATTTTGAAAAACCACAGACATGTAATATTGACATAATTACTATAATTTATATCATCTATCTTTGTTTATCTTTATAAGACAACACCCTAATATGGGTTTTATTATTTCAGCATTTAATTAACTTTGTATCGAGACCTGAAAATGCTTTGCATATTGTAGAAAGTGAAATCGGTCGTCTAAATAGTTAAATTAAATTGATTGTGAGTAAGTCTTATTTATTATTTCTTTTTCCTATTTGAAATAGACTCACACAAGCAACACATTCATGATTTAAAAAAAGGTACCTTCTGGATGACTTTAATATGAAGGAAATGTACACTATGCACAAATTCGTTAAGGACGCTCCTGTGTCTTACGAAACATATCGAAAAATCTTTAATAAGCATTTTAACATTAGTTTCTGCTATCCGCGGAGTGATATGTGTAGTGCTTGCGATCATTTCATGGCTGACCATAAGGTCCTTCACAATAAACTAAATCAAACAAATGATGCCTCTGAAAAACAAAAGATAGAAGTTGAGATTAAACAAATAACTTTGGCAAATAGCCTACACAAATCCAAAGCGGAAGCATTTTATGAAAGAAAGAGAAAGGCAAAGAAAGCAGCAATGCAGAATGTTAACTGTGAAGCAGTCGGTACGGATGTTGAAACAATTTATCTGATGCAAATATTCCGACCAACGACGTCTACTATAAAAGACAACTGATGCTTTTCTCCTTTAACATTTATGGATTGTCTCTTAATATTGTTCTGAAGCTATTTTCTTGTGGCATTTTAAATTCATTACTATTTAACTGGTAATAAGCCACAATTAAAGATAAAAAAACGTTTATTGACGTTTCAATTTCCACTTCGGAAATCGTTCTCAAAATACAAACAGTAAATTAAACAAATTTACTTAATTTAAAATTAATTAATTACAAAACTAATAACAAAAAAAAATATTGTCTACAGAAAATGCTACATTTTACTGTTTTCCATAGGGGGCAAAGGTTTAAACGAAGTAGTGTCATTTCTGCACCATTCTATCTTTGTTCAGCTTGATCTGTCAGTTCGTTACCTCAACATATTCTGTGATTCATGTGGTGGCCAAAATAAAAACTTCACTGTTTTTCGTTATCTTCACTGTTCACTATGTAGTTAATACTGCAAAAAGGTTGGACTCAATCAAAGTAACTTTCCCAATACGAGGTCATTCTTACATGGAGTGCGATCGACATATACGTGTGATAAATCAAAAATCATGGCTGAACTTTCTGAGGATTGGTACACGGAAATTAGATCATGTCGATTAATACCAAATCTGTTCGATGTCGTAGAGGTCGATCAATCACTTATAAGAAACTGTTCTTGGACCAAATTTAAGTAACTAAACTAACATATAAATCACGACCAATTAGAGAGCTCAAAATATTGAAATATCAGTCACGCCTTTTCAAACACGGAGATTCCTATAATGAACAATGGGAGACGTCAATTATACGCAAACCATTTACAAATTTCGATGAGGTGCAACTACTCTAGAGGCAGTTTATTTTGCCACCAAAATTATATACAGGTGAGTTTGTTTTAAAAAATCTCTTCCTTTTCTCTTTTTTCATATAGACGTTTTTTAAAGTTAAGGAAAAATTCAACGATCTGGTCCCCTTGAGTCAGTTTTGCTCATCTCAAAGGGCTAGATCGTTCTATAGAGGCTTACCTTACAACAAAAACAACAAACACGTAAACAAAATGAGGAGAAAATAATAAAAGCTAGATAAATAAAGAACAGAAAAAAATATGTCATACATTTCGCTTTTTTCCCGTGTTTGTAGTGACTTGTGTATAAAACAATGTTCCGAAGTTTTGCATTTTATTTTAAATTCCGTTGATTAAATAATACGTTACGAAATAACTATAGACTGCTTAGCAAATTATTTAATTGTATGAGGATAGTTAGGGTTTGAAAGTTAAAAATTCAATTTTCTCGAATTAACCTCTTTGTAACATTTTGCCTTTCTTCATATATAGAAAACAATTGTTTAGCTATTTAATTTATTAATTTTAAGCACAATAGTTGATTATTTAAATAATATTATTTTTCTGAACAAAATACAGAGCTTAAACATGCCTTATATTTTAAAGTATCCTCACAGCTAGAAATTTTGTTGATAAGACCCATACAATTTCTTGCAACTTTCTTGGCTTCTTCACTGGCTTTTTTATGAGAATCGATATCCTTATTTACGTTTTCCATTTTTAATTTTCCATTATCATCAAATAGTTCTTTTTTCTTCATTACACATTTAGCAAAACAAAGTGTTTTATTGTCTATGTCCTCTTCTTTTAATTTTTCTAAATAACCAGAGGGAAGACCATTCGACTTCAGACATTCCTGTATGTTTTCATTTCGATCGGCATTTGTCTTGTTGACACACGCAATCTGAAAAAAAAATATTTTTATTAGGTACAAATAGGTGCAAAAAAGTTTACCAAAATTGGTGCAGTCCATGGTAACTTACAACAACTGAAAATAGAAATCTACGTCATGTAAGTGGTAAACAAATAGGGAACTTTATAAAACATAGTACAATATAACGTATTTAACCTCAGTACAACAAGCTAGGTAATCTATAAAAGTTTGTAATCTTTCGTCTTTGTAATTAGGTGATCCACTAATCCTAATGTTGGTATCTTGTAATCAGACTTATTTATTAAATATATTAAAAATTATTAAATAATTTTCAAAAATTATTTCTAAAAAAAATAAAGTTCCAAAGTTAGCTGCTTCGCTGAGATTAAGGTAATTATGTGTAGGTATGTAATGTACCAGCTATTTTGCTTCTTAAAAGGCTGAAATCTAGCCCTATAAATATAAAAAAAGAAATGACATTACCTATGTCATTACTTTATCTTGGACGCATATTTAGACACGACAGGTATAACTTCCTTCAGCTTATTATAGAAGGCAAAATAGAAGGCAGACGCGGCTCGGGTAGATGACAAATGACCTCGCTGCGCAACATCAAAGATTGGACAGGATTAGACTCCAAGTTTAATAAGGAAAGCCCAAAATAGGGAAGACTTTGCAGAGGTTATCGCCAACCTTCGCTAAGAAGACGGCATATAAAGAAGAAGATTACCTTATCTGCTGGATTCACGGTATCACTTATGATATGCCTAGATAATATATGCCGCAACTCTGCAACTCGATCTTAAAGCTTTCCCTAATTGACCACAAAGAACCACTTACAACACAATTGTAACGAGAATTATTGGTGTTGTACTAACGTACTGAGATATTGCTTAAAAAATTTCTACGTAGTTCACATACGACGAGTACTTATGTTTTCTTCGACAACCATTTGTCAACTCTGCTCTCGATGTTGTGTTTTTAGTAAAATAAGGAAAGAAAAAGAGGCTACTGTCCGAAGGTTAACAGATGATGTTGACCAATTGTGTCTTTTGTACCAATGTAAGTCTAAAATCATTTATAATGAAAAATATCGGTGTACTTCTGTATGCAGCTGAGCATAGTTAAACCAAAGAATATAGACGCATATGCGTCTATGTCTATATTGGTTAAACCATAAATATAGAAATAAGCTTGTAAATATTCTAGTGAATATTTTAGTACGAATTTCATCTATCCCAAGCGAGGTTTATTTTTCTTTTCAGTTCGATTGTTTGGTTGTCTCGACTTATTCTGATCTCATGGCCCAAGTATTTATAGGAGTCAACTGGCTCAATATCTTTGTCTTCTACTGAGTCTAACTAAATGTAATATAAATTGTGTTTTTGAAAAATTTATTTTAAGACCAACTCTTTTTGTGGCAGTATGGAGTGCTTGAAGCATTATCTGTGCCTGATCACAGCTGTCTGCAATAAGAACGATATCATTTGCAAATTTAAGATTATTTAAAAATTTTCCATCTACATTGATGCCCTTTTCGTTCCAATCTATTGTTTTACAAGCGTATTCTAGCAAAGTTGTAAATAATTTAGGAGACATGTTGTCTCCTTGCCGAACGCCTCTTTCAATACGAGAAGTCCCAGTATCTTCATTAAGTCTTACATAGGCTGTAGCATGTTGATAGATGTATCTGGAGTATATCACTTTGTCCGACCGTATCAAATGCTTTTTCAAAGTCGACAAAAACAAGTATCAGGGGTCTATTATATTCAATGGTTTTTTCAACCAACGACCTAATGGTTTGCAAATGATCATTTGTTCCGTATCCAGCTCTAAATCCTGCTTGCTCGCAAGGTTGATAGAAGTCTAGTTTTGATGTCAACCTATTAGTATTATCTTCATAAACAACTTATAAATGTGAGATAACAAGCTAATAAGTCTATAGTTCTTTAGCTCTGTTATATCTCCCTTTTTGTGCATGACTACTTATTCTTAGAGTGCTGTCTCCCTACGAAGGTTGGCAATCATAATGGCCATTTTTATTTTAGAACTTAGCATGACTACTAAAACAGCTTTATTCCACTGAGATGGTGTAACCTCTTTTGAAAGGCATAAGTTATATAATTGTGTCAATGCTTTCAATACTGTCTTTCCTACTGCCTCACTACCGATTTGGTCATCACCAGCTGCTTTATTGTTTTTCATTTGATTTAATTACTTTAAGACTTTTTCGACTGTTATTTCTGGGATATCCTCTGAACCCACATTCTGGACTTTTCCCAACTTGGTGCCGTATTTCTTACCTCTTTCTCTATATAATTATGTGTAAAATTCTTCAACTACCTTAATTATCTTATCTTTATCTGTTACCACTTTTCCATTTCGGTCTGCGAGCTTAACAATATTCTTCTTACCTAGAGCTTGACATCTGTTCAGCACAGTTAAACTTTTATTTTCCTCGACAACCGTTGTAATCTTTTTTGTTTTATATTGTCGTACGTCCTTTCTCACTGCTTTATTAATATCTTTATTAAGTTGTTGTAGTACGCGTGTATTCGTATCGTTTTTGTTCTTAAGTTCTCTTCGTATCTCCATAAGTCTTTTTGTCTCTTGACTGATTTTTTTCTCCTTATCTCTCCTAGGATTTGTATTACACTTTTTCTCTGCATTCTTAATAGCTTTTATTAAGTTATTAAGTTATTAGATAAGTGTTTTAAATTGGATTCCATCCTATTTGGTGTGTTTTTGTTATCATTTTGTATCTTTGTTTTTGGAGATTTAGCACGATCTTCGCTCTTACCATTCTATGATCACTTCTCACTGAACAGCTATTCAGAACTGTTACATCATGGCCCATGTCTTTGTTATTGGTTAAGACAAAATCAATTTTATTTTTGGTGCCTCCATCTGGACTTGCCCAAGTCCATTTTCTTTGGAGACTTTTTTTGAAAAAGCTATTCATTGCAAAGAGGCCATTTCGTGTCAAGAAACCCAAAAACATTTCGCCTCTTCCATTTCTTTGTCCGAATCCGTAGGGACCTATTGCAACTTCGGTCGCGTCCAGTTTACATTCCAACTTAGCATTAACGTCACCCAGTACTAGGTTATGTTTAGTAGGCGCCAGTTTTACTGCATTTTCTAGGTCTTCCTAAAAGATTTCCACTTTCTCGTCTGAGTGTGTAGATGTAGGTACATAGGCTTGAATTATTTTAAGGCTGGTTTTTTTGTTAAGCTTCAGTTTGCAGAGTATTATTCTTGGGTTGATACCAATAAAAGTTAAACAGTTTTCTTTTTCGTGTCTTACTTCACAGAGACCCATAACGTCCCATTTTTTGTATTTTAACTCTTCTTCTAATTCCAGTTACTTTTCTTCAGATGACAGTGTTCTTACATTGTACGTGGCGATATACATTTGTCATCGTCCGTGGTAGCCTGATCTGACCCGGGGATTCTTCGCACCCACTGTTTGCTGTCTTTTTTTATCGCTACTTTGACCAAGGATCTGAGATTGCCGGAGACTGAGGGCCGTGTTTTTGTCGTGTCAAGCATGCTTGGATTTTAGCCATACTCTACCGCGCTGGCCAGTGCGAGTTGGTAGAGGATAGGATGAAGGTGGGAGTTTAAAGGGGGAGAGATAGGAAAAAGGTATGAGGACCTGGCCCTCTTAGGCAAGGAAGGAGGGAGAAACAGAAGCTAGCATAAGACAGGTTCACTAATCCCTGTAGCAGCCTGTCTTCTACTGGGATTGTAGAAGAGTGCTACCTGCCATCTACCTTTGGCATTTTTTGAATAATTTCTTTATATTCTGTAAAGTCTGCCTTCTCAAATCTTTACTGCTTCTATAACAATATTATCTTCAGCCGATACTTTATTTCTTTTCATTTTCAGATCCAGGGTGAATAAAGAGATCTGGTAATAAGGATACTTTCTTGGGTAAAAAACTTTGGGAATTATTTTGAGATTAAAAATAATTAATTTTTAAGAAGTACAGCACATAAGCTTATGCTTACATGTTAATCGCAAAGAAATTAAACTTGAAAAAAAATTCCGAGCAGTAATTTTGAGAAGCAAAATCGCGAAGGTTGAAGACGTCTCGAAATCTTTTGGATCGCTCTTTTTATGTAATACAATGGTAAGTGCACAACAATGAGAAATGTGAAAAAATAATATTAAAGAGGCAGCAAATAATATTCTAGGGCCAGAAAGACCACCACCACGTAATAACTGGTTTGATGCTGAGTGTAAGGACATTACAAGAAGAAAGAACGATGCATATAAACTGATGCAGCAAAGAAGAACCCGAGAAAAACAGCAAAAATATAAAGATCTCAGAAAAGAAGAGAAGTGCATTCATAGAAGGAAAAAGCGAACTCACGAAAACAGAATATTGGAAGAACTTGAGGTATCAAAAAAGGAAAACCAAACAAGAAAATTCCACAAAACTCTGAATAACGCAAGCAAGGAATTCAAACCAAGGCTCAGACTATGTAAGGATAAGAAGGGGCATATACTAAATACAAAAGAAGAAGTACTGAAAAGGTGGGTGGAACACTTTAAAGAACTACTTACTTTAGAAGTAGAAGATCCAGATCCAAATCAACCACCCGCAGGAGCAAGCAACAATTCACTATTAGAGCCTCCGTCAATTCAAGAAGTACGAGATGCAATAAAACATCTAAAAAACAATAAATCTCCAGGAAGTGATGGTATACCCGCGGAACTTATTAAATGTGGAGGTGCTACTGTGACTAATCAAATATATAAAATAATACTGAGAGCCTGGAATGAGGAACAAATCCCGGAAGAGTGGTGTATTGGAATCGTTTGACCGCTACACAAAAAGGGTGACCAATTGGAATGTAGAAACTATAGGAGAATAACCCTCCTTAATACAGCATACAAAATATTTTCGAGGATCTTATATAGTCGCCTAAGTACATATTCAGAGGAACTTCTCGGGGAATATCAAAGTGGCTTTAGGCCTGATCGATCAACAACAGATCAGATCTTTGTGCTAAGGCAAATACTGGAAAAAACCAATGAATTCAATATCGATACATACCATCTTTTTGTAGACTTCAAATCTGCCTATGATAGTGTCCTAAGAAATAAATTGTATGAAGCCATGAATGAATTCCACATCCCCGATAAACTGATAAGATTGGTTAAGGCTACAATGCGTAATGTGGTTTGCAAAGTCGAAATACAGGGCGAACAATCACAGGCGTTTAGAACGCATGTTGGACTGCGACAGGGAGACACGCTGGCGTGTCTCCTTTTCAACATAGCACTGAGAAAGGTGATCAGAGATGCCCGAATAAACAACAGAGGAAATATTTTTAACAAATCATCCCAAATTTTGGCATATGCAGATGATGTGGACCTAGTTGCCCGCACAACACGCAAGCTAAAAGAAATGTATACCACCTTCTTAAATGCCTCAAAATCTATGGGCCTGCAAGTAAATGAGGAGAAAACTAAGATGATGGCATCAACAGCCAACAATAGAGTCAGGAACATCGGTCCCCAATTCATGGTTGATAACTCTACCTTTGAAATGGTGGACAAATTCAGATACTTGGGCTCCCTGCTCACCAAAGAGAATGCCATAACGGAAGAAATCAAGCGAAAGATAATAATGGCAAACAGATGCTATTTTGGACTGGGTAGACATATGAGAAGTAGAAACTTAAGCCAAAAAACAAAAATAACTATATACAAAACCCTTATACAGCCAGTGTTGACATATGGATCGGAGACATAGACCATCTCCAAGGCAGACGAAGACCTTCTGCTTATATTTGAACGAAGGATCCTGAGAGGAATATTTGGTGGCATCTGTGAAAATGGTGTTTGGAAGGGGAAATACAACTACGAGGTATACCACAGATATAAACAAATATTTAGTGGTAAAGACGTAGTATCTCTTATAAGAATAGGAAGACTAAGATGGGCAGGACATCTAGCAAGATCACAAAAGCCAAAACTCAGATGGAAGGATAGTGTAGATGGAGGAAGGATAATGGTAGGAAGATAGGCGCAGCAAACTAGAAACGGTTGGCAATGGATAGGACTGCCTGGCGTAATAGACTTGGGAAGGTCGAGGCTCTTTTATAGGGCTGTAGCACCATTGATGATGATGATGAATGGTAAGTGCACTGTGCCATGTTGCAGGTGTCACACTTTGGTGCAGACATAAGTTGAAGAATTTCTTAATAATCTCTAAAAGTCTGTCTCCTCCAATACTTATTGCTTCTATAACGATATCATCTTCTCCCGGCACTTTATTTCTCTTCATTTTTAAAATCCAATATAAAAAAGATCTAGTAATAAGGATACTTTCTTGGGAAAAAACTAGGAATTTGTTTAAAATTTAAAATAATAAATTCTGAAAAACTACAGCAGATAAGCTTATGTTGTTGATAATCGCTGATTATAATCAGATAAGCTGATACATGTTAATCGCAAAGAAATTTAACTTAAAAAACCGCTGAACAGTAATTTTGACAAGCAAAATCGCGATGGCGGTAAAAATTTAAGAAAAAGACACATTTCTGTAAAAGCAGAAGGCAATATGTAATAAAAATTGTAAGATATAAAAATATTAGAAGGAATAAAAATACCTGTATAATTAGTACAGCAATACCAATCGCTAGTACCGGTGTACGCATTGTAGTAATGGTTTTGAATTTCACTGACGACTTAATATCTAATATTGACATGTAGACTCTTATATATAGTCTTTCTAATTACCAGGTAATATAAATAACAGGTATAAATGTTTTGCTATTTGAGATGAAAAAATATATTCGTTATTAAAAATTTCTAATTATCGCAAATATTCACGCCTAATTAAAAACAATTATTATACTCTAAAGATCGTTTTTATTGTTATTGCAACAATGTACAACAATGTATCCAAACAATAGTATATATATATATATATATATATATATATATATATATATATATATATATATATAGAAATGTGATAAAAGCTCCCTGACTATCTAGAGTCAGCAAGTTCCGAAGATCAGAGGCTATAAAGAAGGAAGGAAGAAGCCCTTCTTCTTCTTCTTGTGCCGTCTTCTAACGAAGGTTGGCGATCACTTCTTTAAACGCTTCTCGATCTTTTGCAACGTGAAATATCTGTTCAACACTGAGGTTAGTCCATTCTCTGATATTCCTCAGCCAAGATTTCTTCTTTCTTCCCAAGCATTTTCTTCCCTCTACTCTACTTTGCATGATGACTTGTAGCAGAGAGTATTTATCGTTTCGGAGTATGTGGCCCAGATACGATGTTTTCGTACGATACGGCGTGGGAAGAAGCCCACGATTATTATTATTAGCTCTTATTTAGTTGTAGTAAATATCTCTGTAAATTGTAAGTTAATGTTGAAAAAAAAAATTCTTTGGAGAAGGTCAAGTGCTTGTGACATATTTGGCGCTGCGAACAGGATCAACATCGTACAGAAACATAAATCAGTTTCCTGGTCAACTTTAGTTGTTTAACGAGACCGATCGAACCTTGGAGAAGAAAGAAATAATGCATTGGAAATCAACTGTGATCATCCTTACGTAAGTTTTTCCTTTCTTTCCTTAATTTGTATGAGCACTTTTAACAATATTTCTCAAAACAGTGTTGAAAATTTAAATTTATTATTTGACAATTTGAATTTAAATATTATTAATAACTCGTCAACTTCTAATTTAAGAACTTCCATTTCTTGTAATAAAAATCTAGTAAAAAAAATAGTATCTTCTAAGAAAAATTCCAAAATGCCTGTCACTAATAGCGATATTGCTAGTTTGTGTTCCACGTTACCAGAATTTTCGTCAAAAAAAGATCTTTCTACGTTTATCAAATCTGTAGATAACTTGTTAACATTCTAAGGTACCCAAGAACTTACAGAACCTCAGTTATTTATTTTTAATACTCACATTGTATCTCGTATAAAAGGAAATCCGAGAATTTTTTTAAGTTATTTTATTAAATTAAGCTGAACAGATATTCGTCCTGCTTTAATAACTAGATATGGAGATATAAGGTCAGAAGACATTTTGGTAACTCAGTTATCGACAATAGTTCAAAAACATAACGAATCCTATGATCAGTATCATCAAAGGATTTCCACCAATTTAAATGATCTGCTTCAACATATTACTTTAAACGATAATTCTGCTACTGTGAATTTTAAAAGGCCATATTTTAAGAACATAGCCATAAAAACTTTTTGTTTCGGTATAAATGAACCGTACCGCGAAAACTTGTCTCATTTTGAAATAGAATCACTTGAAGCAGCACTTAAAAAGTGCATTGCTTATGATAATCATAAAAACCAGCAACAATATATGAACTTTTTAAAAAGCCAACAAACTAGAAACCCTTTACTCAAACAGGGGTCACATAATCCAAACCAGTTTCCACGTAATAATCATAATAATAATAGGCCCACACATTTCTCGCTCATGCAGTCAAATTACTTCAGGCCACCATTTCAGAAGAATAAAACAAATTTTAATAATACTTCACAACCAAAGTTTAATTTTGCTTCTCAATCGTATAATAATAGTTCATCTAGAAATAATCAACCCCCAAGTTTTCGACAAAATGTACAAAATAGAATAAATAAATATAGGAATCCCAAAACTCAACAAAACACACATTCTCCTATGAGTGGTGTTCTAACATCCTCCACGAGAAATTACCAACCCATGACCGTTACCTCTAATGGCCATCATTTCAATATTGCTGCAACTGAAATTCATAATTCCGAAGTTGACATTGAAAACTGTGATTCCGAACAAGCACCGGAAGAATATTTCGGCCAAAACTATCAGGATTTTCCACTAGTTTCTCCCGAAGAAAAACCACCTCCTGTATAAATCTGAATAATTTACAAAAATCTCCCCTGCTACCTTATTTTGTTACGCCTATGACTCTCTTAAAGTTCTTATAGATTTTGGAGCATCAGATACTGTAATCTGACCGAAAGCTGTAAAATATGTTAATCAATCCCACATATACAAAAACCCTTTCACATTAATCTCTATGAATCGTACCACAAAATTTTTCCAAAATATTAAAACCCCTTTATTATCTGAATATAATATTAATGATCTCATTGACGCGCGAATCGCAAATTGGGGCAAAGCTTTTGATATTCTACTTGAAAATTATGATTTAGAACGTTTTAACTCCATACTAAATTATCAAACTAAAACATTGACCTTAATAAAGTATAGAATTACTATTCATTTTGAGACATTATATTAAGGTCTATTCTCATTAGACGTGCCAGGCCCGTGCTCGTCACCTGTAGAAGCATGCTTTCTAGCATGCATTCTAGCATGCTTTCAGCGGTATTTTGCACAAGCAGTCGGTTAGACGAGTAGGTGGATAGTTGTGCAGTTGTAATGTTTTCCACTGCAACTTTAGTAAAAATTGCATTTTTTACTTTGGATGCCGAAGAAGAAGAAAATATGAGAGATAAAGTTAAAAAAGGAGGTTTTGGATACATCCAATGATTAAGAAAAGAAAAATAAAACTATACCTTAATGGAGAATACTATACCTTGTATAAAGATCTCATGGATGATGAGTCAAAATTATATATAAATATATATATATATATATATATATATATATATATATATATATATATATATATATATATATATATATATATATATATATATTGGATTTGAAATTTCCGCGGGAGCTATATGTGATTTTAGTTGTTTTCCGGGTTTGACTCCACGTTAATTAATTTTGGTTTTTAGAAAAACCATTGTTTTGACGACGTTTCGGCAAGGTCACACTTGCCATTGTCAAGTCAGATTAGTTCTGCTTCGTCTTAAATTCTCCTGAAACATCAACGAATACGTATACGAGACGTACAATCAAAGACATAAAGAGGAACTACAACCTTTTATCGATTATTTATAAAATAAACAAACAGAAAAAAGGCAGCAGATATTAGATAGACAAAACGAGAACGCTGGAGAAATTCCCGAGATAGATCTCTCAAAAACTTTGTATGTTTCAAAAAAGAAACATAAAGCAAAACTACAAACACCTTATTCTATAATACATCCAGATAAACAAAAAAACAAGGATTTTAGGTAAGACAGAACAAACAAAACGCAACAAGTACACATATTAAGTTAGTTAAAAGAACAAAAAAATGTACAGACAAAAATACTCAAGCTCAAACTTGTTCACAGGAAAATGCTCGCCCTAGGCCGTCAACTCAGGATTCAGGAGATTCAGAATAATGGCTACTATGCTGAGGAGATAGGAAAATCAAAAGAAATCTCCAATTACTACGGACACTTCATATTTCCCTAGACAATTTATCGAATATAATAGAAACTAGCCCAATCAACCAATTCCAATCTTATTTTAAGAAATTAAACCTCTCTCACCTATCTTACTTGTTTATTCTCAATATAATCATATACGCGAACAAGTAAAAAATGATTTGCATAAGATCACTAGCAAACAGAAAAGAGGACTCATTAACTTTCTCGGAACTGCCATCAAATATATAACAGGTAACCCAGATTACTCTGATCTTGATCTATTAAAAACACATATTATTGTAATAGAATATAAACAAAATGAAATAATCAAAAAATTTAACAATAAAATATCATATGGACAATTTATTTTATTTAGTTTAGCGTATGGACGTTCACAGTACGATAAATATACAAATACAATTACAATAATATACACATATATATTATATATATTATTCAAACACTAAAAATAGTAAAAATAGAATGAATAGAATGAATGACACTAAATATTGATGTCCAATTTACATAGCCATTCAATTGCTTCTGGGGAACATTCCGCAAAGTCCTGGAGGTTTCCACGGTAGGCACGATTCAAGCAGTCTGAAACACAATGGCTTATGGTCTGTCTAGATTCTCCGCAATCGCACTGTGGACTTTCTGCACGACCCCACCTGAACAGCGAATCAGCACATTTACCATGTCCGGTACGTATACGATTAAGCCTTGCCCAAATGGACCGGGGCAGATTTGATCCGATGAAACCCTGAGTTGGGGTGGATATCTTAATATAGTCCGATTCTACTGTTGGCATTCATCTTGTTGTCCATTGCCTATGTATATCATAGGAATTACCAATTTTTCGGGCAGATCGTATTGGAGGATTTCTAGATCTCAATCGTTGGTGCTCTTTTGAGATGTCTGGGATATCTTGATGTATTGGTAATTGTACGTTGGCTACAATTTTCTGGTACTCTCTCACTAATGCTGCTGTAAGGCGTAGATCTGGTGGAGCAATATTGCTCAGAGTCGGCAGCCATCTCACTGGCGTTGATTTTATTGTTCCAGTGATTATTGTCATGGTTTGGTTAAGTTGGACATCGATTTTGCTTGTATGTGCACTATTTAGCCATACTGCTGCACAATATTCTGCCACTGAAAAAACCAAAGCTAGAGCAGAGGTCCGAAGAGTATCTGCAGAAGCACCCCAAGTTGTTCCAGCAAGTTTTGATATTAAGTTATTTCGTGTTCTTAGTTTACCGGCTGCGTTTGTAAGATGACTTTTGAAGGTGAGTGTTCTATCAAGTGTGACGCCTAGATATTTGGTGTAGATGTTGGCCTACTGGCCATTCACTTCTGTAGAGACTATGGACACATTATTTTCGCAGCTGCAGTCCGTCATCTTAGCATTTTGTATACTG